CCGGGACTCGAAGCTGGCCACGTTGTGACAAATGTAGATATGATTCCCATTAGTTGTCAACTCATTATGCACTGATGAATTTGCCAAATATTAGCTGTTACACGCCTGCCACCTGCCTTCAAAGCACGTAACAAAAGAATGTGTGTATGTGTATACACACAAATACACATACACGCACGCACTTATAAATGTGACAGATATAATTAGAGAGCTCCTATATCGATTTGGAAACGAGACGAGCTCCTATATCGATTTGGAAACGAGACGAGCTCGTATATCGATTTGGATTCGAGACGAACTCCTCCAGCCTTCCCAGTCAGACTGCTTGCGATGTAACAAATTTTCCGTGGGTTTGCCGTTTACATTCACACTCATTACAAAAATATTTTAATTAGTTCTTATCGTCACTAATCCTAAGAATATCTTCCATACATAATACATCGCCAATGAATAGCATATCGTTCGTAATTTAGTTGTGAACATTGTGGAAGTTGGCATCATGGAGCTGGTTATACTTAGTTATTTTATAAGTAGCGTGTTGTTAAGAACACGATTCTGTGAACTGACAAAACACGCTTCGAAACTCTGATGATGAAGTTTGACGAATAGGGAGATACTTGGCTGCTTAGTGCTTTTAAGCTGGACGAAACTGAAAATCGATATTTGATCGATTGGAGAAAGACCTTTCTGAGAACAACTAATGTTTCTTTCAGTGTCCGGGCAACAGCAGTACTTCCGAATCCAGCCCAAGGACGTCAAAGTCCACGAAGGAGGGGAGGCCATGTTGGAGTGTGAGGTGACCAACCAAGCGGGGCAGGTGCAATGGACCAAGGATGGCTTTGCTCTAGGTAACTCATAGTAATGACCATCTGTAGAGCAATTATACATATGCGCACAACCTATGCGCCGTAGCAACCGACAACGACCGTTACTGTGCGTAACACATGAGATACAGCAGGCACCTAAACTTTATAATACAAAAGCAAACTTTAGGTTTGGTGTAGTTATCTTTGGAATACTCTTGTAACTTGAGCTCTTTCCTGTGAGAAGTGAGTCTTATATGTAATACAGCTTCGATAGTAGGTAATAATTGGACCGTTTAAATTTTAACATCTTATGAGATGATAATGTTGCGTCATATTGTGATGATTATAATTGTTTAATTTTAACCGTCTAATCACAATAAAATATTTTATTAAATATTAAAATATTAAAATATTATTACTACAATTAACATCTTACACAAAGCCCTTAGAACCTGGGCATATGAGTCATTAAAGTGACTGGGTGTGGACTGGAAGGTCGGGATTCCATTCCTGACAGGGGCAAAAGATTATTTTGAGGCCCACCCAGCCAAAAATCTAATAGGTAGAAGGGAAATTTTAATATTTGGGGCGGGGGCTCAAGAAAGAATGTAGCTATATCTCCATTAGACCTTACGTATTCAATGGCTTAGTGCTTAATAAGTACCACGGATTAATTTACCTTTCGTTTACAAACTTCTAAATTGAAAAGATTTCGCGAAATTAGCTTTCCTCCCATGGCAACAAAGAGTGTAATTTCATTTTGGCACGAATCTTGAGGACCAAGTCAACTATTACCTCTGAGTTTTTATATATTTACTAGCCTCCGTCGTGTTAAAGAACAAAGTTTAATTTCGTCTTTTGCCTAAATGTTGTCATTTATCGTGTAAGCTATTTTCACTAATTTGCAGTGGTCACTCATCCAATTGTCACTTTATTTACGTGAGTTAACATTGAAGTTGTAGACTACGACTTTTCATTCGGAAGGTGCATAATTCGAATCCTGACCAGAGACAGGCTATCCTGGTTCAGTGTCCTTGGTTTTATTCAGTCACTCCACGCAAATGCTGAGATATATTAAAATAACCAAAATCGCATTTGATGCAAAGTTATCTCAGAACTTGATACAGATTTGCAAAATAACTGAAATTGCCTACCCAACCCAAAAATGTCTTCATTCGACAGACACTGAATTTGACAGGTAAAACATCGAATTGCCCAGAATAAGACCTGTGGGGTTACGAATAAATAAAGATGGCTGTCTTCTGGGATATTACGACGTGTAGTCTGGTACAAGTTTACCGACGTTTCAGAGGTCATTGCTGCCTCCATCATAGAGGCGATGAGTAATAAATGGTAGATGGACACAAAGAATTGTAAAGTACATCGAAATAGGAACTGAAATCGAGTGCGTCAGTATAGACTGTAATTAAGACGATAGAGGAATGCAGCTGTTGACTTGGGAGTTTCTTACAGATGAAGTGGGCTCCCATCTACACTTTTATGAGTTGCCTTCTGCAGATGACTGTCATTATCCACACGCCTTATTCTGGGAATTTCGATGTTGTAACTGGCCACGTCTGAAGCTAGTTCAATCAGATAGGCTTTGTTTCTACCCTTGTCCGACCTTCTCTGTCTGAATACGGAAGCAAAATCCATCTTCTAAAATCCTGCAGATTTAAAATTTTATGATTTAAAGTTTAAATCATAAAATTTTAAATTTTAAACAATGGATGAAGTACGAAAAATTAATTATTATAACGCAGAATTGTCAGAAACCTTCGGACTTTGGTAGTGTGATAATTAGAAATCTATCTACTACCTATTCTTACTAAGAGTTTCAAAGTTTTCTTCAGTCTCACTGGGATAGTACCCGGATAATTTCTTTATAATAGGCCACCACCAGTTTCTCCTTCATCCATCCTTGCAAATTCAAAATTGCTTGTTATAAAATTTGACGTAAAACCAATGAATTTGACCAGGGTCATTAAATAAAGTGTGACCCTGTTTTAATTTAATAAAGATTATAACTCATATTAGTTTTGTTAAACCAAACTTTTAAAACATTTATTATTTTCTGTTATTTCTAAACCTGGGGTTTTACGGTTCGTGTACAGATGATATGCAGTACATTACAGGTGATGTTAAATCACAAGAGTGGACTTGACAGCTCGCTGCTTCGTTCCCTTTTTACAGTGTTATGGAGCTAATTTATATGTTAATTTCAAAAGTGATATTTCCATTCCACTGTGTATTCTATTGAAAGCCGCTACAGTACAAAAAGATACACGCTTTAGCATGAAGATTATTAATCGATTCAGTTCGTCTTCAGTAATGAGATTTTACTCTTGAGTACACATAACATTACATATCAGCTGTTTCAGTCAGATATATTAAAAATAAATAAATGTATAAATATTAAATTATTGAACTGACCACTAATAGTGTACAAAATTGAAAATAATGTAGAGTCTTTCACTCGAATTACATTTTCAAAGTAAACACAGAAAAAAAAAGTTGATTTATTTAATGTATTTCATCTCAGCTTTGGAAATATATACCTCTTGGGTTCAACGTAAACTTCGTGCTAATGTCGGAGAATTTAATTTCATGAGAGATCAGAAATAAAATTCAGAGACAATTCCTCTCTCTGGCTTTATTTGTAGTGAATATACCTTAGATTTGGTGCAAGTATTATTTACCGTTAACATTACTTAATTCCGAAGCAATCACGTAAGGAAATACGTGGTTAAATCCTTGTCGGAAATGCGTCTTAGTGACATTTCTTCCAGTTCTGTTTGTGGCCTCTTTGCTCCTCATTTAACTATGACGCAGCCTGGTGAGTTAAGGTGTAAACAATGGAAAGCGCTCTTAACTGCTTTGCGACGTTGCCCTTCATCGAGTGTCATTTCATATTACTGCATTTATTCTTTCTAAGAATGAAATAACAATTATGTTACTCTTTGTATTGATAATGATTTAGAGCTTCTTATTAGTATTTATTACATAAATAAGTTTAAATGTACATTTATAGATGCTGCTTAATTAAGTTCTGTTTGTAAAGATGACGTGGGGTGGGTGTTTATTTATTGGAACAGCACATTATCCAGGAGGTTCACGGACTACCAGTGAGGAAAACATTCTTTCGTGGTTATGACTTCAGTTTAAAATAACATATATTATATTACCAAAATGAAAGGGAATGGGGATGAATTAGAACTGAATCAAACATTTCAGTTACTTGTCTGTGACACTGTTAATTTATTACGTAAAAACATGAATACCGAGTAGTTGGTCTGCAAACTGAGATTTGCATAGAGGACAGCCTGCAATATGAAGCAACAACTACGCTTTTGATAATTGGTGTATGTACAAAGGCTGATTGATGTAATGTCATTATAATATATCATGTATCAGTCAGTGATTTGCTGAACTTTGAAACCTGTTGTGTGAAATTTATAAAGAACAATGAGGGATTGGATGTGATTGGGACACATGAGTTTCTGGTCTGTTCTGATAATATTAAATTATTCAGTTAAGATTTAAATATTTTAAAGAAAACACAGGAACTCAATTAAATATTATGAAACGAAATTTAGATAAGTAAATGCAGAGAAAAGTAAGTGTATATTCGTGATTTATCAATAGGTTACCGGATAACATCTTTTATAAAAGCAGCCAGTTAATCATATCTGGAAACAGCAACAAAGAATCAAATTTGCATTTATGAGAAAATTAAGAGCTGACTGAATTGGAGAAATGCCTACAACCATGAACTTTAGAATGTTTTGTCTTTCTCTTCAGTATCTAAACTCATAAAGATTAATTAATTAGGAATCATAACTAACCAGTTAAAGGTGTTTGAGAACAGGCTGATTAGGAGAATAATTGGGCGTAACAGGGCTGAATGATGGATGGCTTTTGTGAACGTGGTTACGAACCTTCAGGTTCCATAAAAGGTGGGAAATTTTGTGACTAGCAGAGCAAGCTATTAGATACTCAAAAAGCTCTCTGATCAATGAAGCAAGCAGAAATTTGTGAGCGAGAGAAACGTAGGAAAATGCCACAGTACAAATCAGAAAATTATTTGCTTGAAAACAGTCACCGTCAGAAAAGCGGAGTGTACAAAGATGTAAGCGGAAGATAAAGAGTTTCGGTGTGCGCATGCGCAAGATGTAATTTTGAATTTTGCCGCTGTAGCGCGCGTGTTACTGCGCTTTCTTTTTAGTGCAGTACAAAGGAAGATGGCGACTGGATACGAGCGTGCGTTATATGGCTTGGAGTTTCATTCCACGAGTTGTGTCATCACTTTTCAGCAAGCATTTAGAAGGAGGCATGAAAAGATGGCTCCAACCGCAGATGCCATTCGTAATTGGTATCAGAATTTTAAGTCGACAGGTTGTATCTGTAAAGGACAGAGTTCCGGCAGACCAAATGTGTCTGGGGAAACATTTGATCGTGTTCTACGAAGCCAGCGGAAGTCGACACGTCCAGCGTTGCCGCGAGGGGAGTGTACCACAGAAAACCGTGTGGCAAATTCTGCGAAAACTCTTTGAACTTCGGCCATCCCGTTTTGCAATTGGTGTAAGTCACAATACCAAACGGCACGGCAATGCATAACACGTTTTGTAGGGATATGATGGCCAGTGTTGAGGGCGACGATGAGACGTTCCTGTTAAAACTGTGTTTCAGTTACGAAACCACATTTCATCGTCGCAGTTGTACACTCCAAAGGTTTGCGTCTTCTGTGCCCTGACATGTGACAAAGTGTAAGGACATTTGTTTTTTTTTATGGAACAAACAAACAGTAACCGGAGTTGTGTACTGCGAAGTGTTGTAGTTTAGGTTGTTGCCCTAGCTTCTTGACGAAAAACCCAACGTTACTTTCCAGCAAGTCGGTGCACCACCTCACATCCATCGTCCACTTTTGAATACAAAGTACCCTGGGCGATGGATTGGTCTAAGCGCGCCCACCGCCTGACCTGCAAGGTCACAAGATCAGACTCCTCTCGACTTATTTCTGTGGGGCTGTGTAAAGGACCTTGAGTTCACACCACCATTGCCACAAACACTGGGCGACTTAAAGGATCGCATAAAAAGGGCTGTTGGAACGATTGATCGACAGATGCTGCAAAGTTTTTGGCAGAAACTGTAATATCGTTTTGATGTCTGTAGGACAACACGTGGAGCGCAAGTTAAACTTTAATAAGCACGTTAAAAACTGGCTGAGTTGCTGTTCTTAATAGTATAAGTGTGATATTTGTGTGCGTAATAAATTCTCATAATCGCTAACATTATTTTGACTCATTCTGTGTATAAGTGCTTTGAGGGCAGTAGTCTTAGATTTCTATAACAGGGTTAACTTATCGAGAAACCCTGGTATAAAACAGAAATTTATACAACCTACAAGTGAAATATTAAATGCCGTTCTTTGACTGTTGTAAATATAGTGTGTAGAACACAAATAACATGAGCAGACAAGGCTTGTGACATAAAGGTATTATATGTTTTATTATTTATTTATTAATATTTTACGTGAGGTAATATGGGAGTAAGATATTAAAATGGATCTTTTGTCAATTCTAAACATACACACTACATCACACTGAAGATGTGTGTTGTCTGGGTTGTAGCGCCATGTAGTCTGATAGAAGTTTGATGATATTTCAGGGGAACGTACCTCTGAAACGTCAGTAAACGTCTACCAGACTACAACCCAGAAGACAGCCATTATCGTAGTCACTGATGTGAGAGCCTCAAATCGTATTGCATCAGAACATCAGACTGTCTTAAGATACAGTCCACTTTTGGATGTAGGAGACGAACGTGATTATCCTCAGGCACCATAGCAGAAGCAAATTACTTAATCTTCTGAGTAAGAATCTATGTATTCAAGGAACTGTATCGTGTCGTTAGTTTGGAGGATAGGCTGGATACAACTGCTTAATGCATTGGGGAAACAATAATTGCACCCAAAGTTTTGTTAGAAGAATTCATGGACTGAGACTTTCAGATAAATAATCAGGTTGGAGTATATCAAAATAGATCTTTGATAAATAGATTTGATGTGAAATATTAATTTAACTAACACTAGAAAGTAAGTGAAATGGTTGATTATCGGTGTTTTCAACTGCATAGATTATATATAGCCTAGAGTGGAATCATGTTGATGAAGTTGTGGAATAAAGCAGTAATGTCATATTTAAGGTATTATACGAGAATTTGCCTGGAGGGACGGGGGAAAATTATGAAAAGCTTTGATTAGGTTAACTGGTGTACAGGTCAGGTTTAAAACCTGGGGCCTCCTGAACATGCAAGCAGGTTTGCCAACAAAATTTGGTGCCTGTATGATAGAGCTATTTAATCTGTTAGTATTTAGTAACTTATTTAGGTAGTTATACCGTGCCAGGAAGAAGTTAATCACATGAGTTATGTCATTTCCGAATGAGGTCAATTACTGACATTCCCACAGTTCAGATAATGCGACTCATAATTCAGTTGTTGCGGTCCGTTTCTCACAGGGCTTTCTTTGAGCTGGTCTCATACATTATAATGATGGGGTTATTAATTGTGCACAACTGATGTTCATGTGATTAGCCCGCAGCTGGGTCAAAGTGGAGGGGGGGGGGTCTGTTTATTGCAGTAACTTTGTGTATGTCACTGGACTTGCTTTTATCAACCACTCGACTTTGAACCGTGTTTAAAATACTTAAGCGTTTTTATTTAGAATGTTTGGATTTGCGTAATTTTATCAGCAAATTATAGATCTGTTAGTTGTTTAGCAAAACTTTATCAGATGCGAGTGTTATTTTAGTTTATTTGATAATACCAATGCTTAATTACCTTCAGAGGTTATATAAAATTGATTTATTTATTGACGTGTTTAATGTTGACACATCAGCACTGGTTATTTGTGACTGTTGCCAAATTAAACAAATTATTAACTAAACTCGTGTAAATTCTAACTCATTTTGATAATTAAATTACCTCTACTAATTTCATCCTTTCGATTGCCAGGTAACGTGTTATACATCTGTATTGTCGTAAATCGTTATCAGCTGATTTGCTGTCGTCATTTGACCCTAAGAAATCGTGTTTGTTAGTTTATTTTCTATCATCAGTTCAGTCTGCACAATTAAATTGGCAATAATTGTCACTATTTATTTATATTTCTGAAATCAAAACGTCTCTCTTTTAGACACCGGAATTCTGTTTAATGTAGATGAAAATGTTTATGCCTGAGTTGACCCTATAGTAGGTTAGTTTTCTGATTGGTACACTTTATTTTCTCTCTGCACTCCCTTCCTCCTTCTGGCCCCACTACAAGCGTCAGAGTACTTATTGGATTTTGTGGTTGCGCAATCAGCAATCCTGCTACATGTTTAGGATAGCTTGAGTCTGATTCTTTGCCCAGAGGTTGGCTGTCCTGGCGGCCTCCCTTTCCCTCTAGGAAACTAATAGGATAATACCTTTTATGATCTGTGAATGTTTATTTTATTTTTCTATCCAGTTATTAATTTTCATCATCCATTGTTCTGTTGAATTAGGAGAAGCCATAAGATACGATCAGAATCTTCTAGGATGCTGAATACAGACTTCTTATAGTGTCTCATATGTCCGCAGGTTTCAGCGCCGTCATACCTGGGTTCCCACGGTATTCAGTTGTTGGTGACAGTCGGATTGGCGTGTATAACCTTAGAATTGTCAATGCATCACTAGATGATGATGCAGAATATCAGTGTCAAGTTGGTCCAGCAAGGTTCAACAAGGCGATTAGAGCCAACGCCCGGCTCAGCGTCATATGTGAGTATACGTGTGTTCATTCAAGTAGTACAGTACAGTACAGTAGTACTTACGAACGTTATCAGAATATCATTGTAGCAAAGATGTTTAATTGTTAATTGGAACCAACACTCATTATACAGTTCTGTACTTTTTTATAATGTGATAGACTTTTAAAAATGATGCAGGTATTACGAAGATATTTTTCGGAAAATTGAAAATAACAACATCGAAATTGTAAAAAATATTTTTACGTATAAATCGTATATGTCGAGTCATTATACCTAAATGTGTTTAAACATCGGTGATATGTCACAGATACATACTGTTAGTGGTATCCGTGGTATTGAAACATCGTCTATTCTTTTGGTATCCTAAAATGCACAGCATAAATGCAGAGTTCTTTTGATTCTTGTTGTGTGACAGCCAATTAATGACGCCATCTCTTGACTACAATCGGGCAATTATCACTGTGGGATGATGGGGTTAAAATATGCAGATTAACCTGGGGAACTGGTGGAAAATTATACAATCACTCCTTTTCCAGGTTTGTTCTCTTTGTCCTTAGGGAATTTCTGGCTAAATTCTGAAATATAATTCGTGTTTTGTAGCAGCCATTTTATCAGAAGAATTCACCCAATTAATTTGTAATCACGAAAAAATTACGTTTCGTATTATCACTTCATTTGTCTCCTCTGACTAAATTTTTTCTCTGTTTTTTTCTTTCTTTCCTTCTTTTGTGTGTGTCTTGCCTATAAAATTTATTGTCAGTTTCTATAGATTTTAAGAGTAATGTGTGATTATTACCTTAATCAGAATTAACTGATAGATCTTAGTAGTGGTAATAAACCATATTTTCTGCCAACCCCAGAGTCTTTTATCAAATTCCTTATTGTTATAGTTTCCCAATTAATTTTTGAACCTGTCTTTAGTCAGTTCAGTCAATTTCATGACCTCACGACCTGTTTATTTAATATATGTTTTAATATTATTTATTTAATCCTAGGTCTCTCAGTTATGTCATGCTTTGAGGGGTTTCATGTTTCTCTTTTCAGGATTTTTTCTATGCACTTATGTTTTTCTGTGTCAGTTATTGTCCCATCGTTGCTCCATATTTATTTGTCACAGTCCCTGAGGATGCTATAAGTGACCAACCAAAATATTTATCTTCATTTAAGCCTTCGTCTCTGACCCATTACGTGGCCAGATTAAAATCAGATCAGTCACAAAGAAATGTCACGTTTTTCTTTCCAGCACCTCCGTCCTTCATTGAGATTGTCAATCATGCACCAAACTCCAAGATTGAGATCAGAGAAAACCAGGAATATCAATTAGAATGCCTAGTGAAGAACTCAAAGCCAGCGGCAAAAATTATTTGGTATCGGGGAAATGTGGAATTGAAGTTGGGTGAGTGAATAATTGGATTCGAATTTATTTTAACAAGTAATTAATGATGAAAAGTTTTATTCCGTATGTATTTGCCAATTATAATACCAGTTTCGTGGGATTTTAATGTAGTTTTTACTAATAATAATCCGTGGCGTAACAGCTCCAGAGAGCCAAAGGCGACTAACCTGATTGCTGGCCTCACGTTCACATGCCTAAGCAGAGGTGAACGATCATCCAACCAGATAAAGAGTGACGTGTGTTAAGATGTGACAGAGCTCTGACCAACGATCCGTGGACGTAATTTAAATGAAAAGTGTGTTTTATGTTAAGGAAACAGAATTTTGAATTATGCACACTGGCCAATTTAGAATAAATATTAACTCCTCTGCAGCTACAACACGGCCATTTTTGCTTTGCTTAATGCGCTCAGAGGCCATGATGAAAATGCATGGCACTTCAAATTACAAACTTTGTTAGTTTCATCCCTAGTATTGTAGAAGTACGATGTTGTAGATTGTAATTTTTGTATCGCACAATTGTCCTCATTTTAATCGCTGACAATACGCGCAAGTTATTTTTTTCTTAATTGTGGTGTCGTATAAACGTTACCCCGAAAGAATGTATTCGTCGTAAAACCATTATAAACTGTGACTTCGTTGTCAACAGACAAACGCGTAGACACGACGACAGAGGTGAATGAACCGTCACCTTCTGGCAGGTATGCTAAGCGTTACAACGTGCTTAGCCGCATCAAACTACAGCCAACATCAGAGGATGATTACGAAGACTACACGTGTGAAGCTCGGCATGAGGCTCTGCCCCCTGACATGCCCTTGCGTGTCACCGTACAACTCAGCGTTCTCTGTAAGTGACAGATACTAACCTATAATGTATCTTTAATAATATATATAACATGAGTATCAATTGAAAAGTTTATTTGTTGCGTTTGTCCTCAGATCCACCTGGTATACCTTACATCGAAGGTTACACCGAGGGAGAAACGATTCGTCGTGGTCAGACGGTGGAGTTAACGTGTAAATCTCGAGGTGGAAACCCTCCCGCACAGCTGATCTGGTACAAAAATGGCGAGCAGATCCGTATGGCATATCGCACGGCAGGGCGAGTCTCAGAGAACATCTACACTTTCACGGCGGACGCTTCAGATAATAAAGCGAGGTACCGCTGTGAGGCCTCCAATGTCATGAGCCAAGGACCTCTTAAGACCGAGATACAGCTCACTGTCCTCTGTACGTATCCTTCCTCATCATCTACCCTGATAATAAAGCGTACATAGAGTAAAATATAATTAATGAAATTTGTATTTCTTTGTCGACAGTTGCCCCAGCTCAGGTTAGTATCTCGGGTCCGACAGAGGCTCGGATAGGCGATTCGGTGCCCCTGGCGTGTACTACAGCAAACAGCAACCCACCTGCGGAGATCAAGTGGCTTGTAGCTGGGAGACACGTTCGAAATGCAACAAGTCGCACTGTCGTATCTCCCGAAGGGGGATGGATCACGACATCCAACATAACCGCAGTTATCGCGCCCAACAAGCGATCGCTGGTTGTAATATGCCACGGAATCAACATGCAGCTGACGGAGAACATTGTCAGCACGCACACCATCAATGTGCTCTGTACGTGTCATTGCTTCTGATTGGTTAATACTTATAAATGTATCGTCGTAAAAAAGTTGTATTGAGATTTAAGTAACATTTGTATGTCGCTGTTTCAGTTAACTTAAGTATTATTAATTTGAGTTTTGTGCTACTAAGCATAGAACGCTGGTCTTGTAATCCTGGGGTCCCGGGTTCGATTCCCGGCGGTGCCCCAATTTATAACTTGTGTTGGGCAAGGCCGTGGTCTAGGCAACACGGAGTTTTCCTCCGGGGGCTTCTTCCCCGGTTTCTCCGTGGCATCCCAACAATTACTCCATTCACACACAGAATAAGGCAATGGCAAACCACTTCTGGATCATCTGCCAAGAACGTATATGAACAGGTCCCAGTCCGAGAAAAGGATGGAAGGATCCTGTTCATAAAATGTCGCCAACCTCCTGTAAAGGAGACGGCGTAATAAAGATGAAGCATCGATGAACTTCTTTTCTTAAATTCCTATAAATTTATTAAATTGAAACTCATACATTTTAATAGTTCAGTTTGTTCAAAAATGATTTAGATGCTCCGTTAATTCGGGATAAACAAAAAAAAATCATATACCAGGATTTTTTTGGCTTTTCAGATGCCTTAAACTTACTTTAAATTTTTAATGTTTAGTGGCAATAAGAACCGACAGCTCAGTATTTTTATATTTTGAGCTGAAGTTTGAATGAGACTTTGTTGTAGGTAACATCTAACTAATGAACAAAGCAGAATAAAATGAATAACAGTCATTTTGTCCAACAGATCCACCGAGTCAACCAATTATTCATGGCTACGCGGAAGCAACGAGTATTGCAGTTGGCACAGTGCAGAAGATATCTTGTATCTCATCTGGTGGGAATCCCCTTGCAACTCTCACGTGGTACAAGAATGACAAAAAAGTGGGTATCGCATTGTTTTATTCCATAACCATTTGTTCTCCAGTCTATAAACATTTCTTTTTCCTTGTAATAATTCTGGGGCCTTGTGTCGCTTGTCGCTGGGACCGTGGGTTCGAATCCCACTCAAGCCATGGATGTTTGTTGTGCTGTCCTGTGTACAGGTAGAGGCCTTGCGATGGGCTGATCCCTCGTCCAAGGAGTCCTACCGAATGTCTAATAGAACGAGCTCAGGTACTTGAAGAACGTGTCATTCCCAGTATCCAGTAATAATTCCAGGCTCAATTTTGGCTTATATCATATAAACTTGTTCAGTGTTCAATAATTTATCTCTCACAGTCACTTATCTTTTTATTTAAATTAAATATTTCCAGTTCCTGTTGAATATTTCCGTTGTCAGACATAGAAGTGTATACGTGTCACGCTAACTTAAAGAATCACTTTAATTATTTTTTTTATATTATCAGTAGTTTTGAAAAATATAACAAATGCAAGTAAATTCAGTTCAGAATCTGCTGTTAATGCTCTTAAAAATTTATTAATGTACTTGTTATTTTTTTATGGTTACCCTGGAAAAATACACAAAATATAAATGTTTGAAAATGAAGTTCCAAAGAAAATGATTGGGCCTATCAGAGAGTTCACAAGATAAATTTCATAATCTTCAGCTGTTCACTTTACAAAACAAAATTATTAGATTCATGGCTGGTGTCGAACGTAGAGATTCATATAGAAGTCTGGTTAAGAGATTAGAGATCTTGGCTCTTCCATTTGAATAATATGAATTGTACTTGTATTATTGTATTTTATTCCTTATCCTATTTGTCATCTTACTAACTTATTTATCGATGGGAAAAAAAGATGTAAATATCCATAATATAAAATGTTAACAGATAGCGAGTGAGTTAATCTATCGGTTTTCCGATTACCTCTTCCGTCGTTCTGCCTACAGATCAACTCTGTGACTAAAGTAAATGACAGATCAGTGTCGGCAGAAGTGACGATACTGGTGAACGTGACGGACAATGAGGCGCGGTACAAGTGTGAAGCGTCCAACTCGGCAACTGAGATCCCGCTCTTTGAGACGGTCACCCTCGACGTCCACTGTAAGTAAAACAGCAGTTTTGTTCTTTCCGTAAAACAATCTTTTCTGGTTCTTGTGCTAGGGAGCAAGTCATTTTTGTTTCATGCCAGATATAAAAGTTTATAGTATCAAAATTTTTTTTATAGTTATTGATAGCTGGTAGCGTGCATGTTGGTGTCGTGAGAAACAGAAGAAACCTCAGTAATATATCACAAACTGATAGGAAATTTAAAATAAATGAAGTTGCTTCTGTTTTTGAGTATTATGGACACCAAGACAGCAAGTCTTTTTACGAAGGAGTGTTCGTAGGGTGTCGCTATCTCGGATGCTACCAGATGAAGTGTAGGATAAGCAATGTCTGTACTTAACTTGAGAACCAGTAACAAATTTTACATCTTTAACTGACCCTACACAAGAGCGTAGAATGATCGGAGCGATGGGTTTGAACCCGCAGTAGAGATACACAAGGAGTAGCGTGATAAGTTTACGTTGTATTCCAGTTCCTCCGGACCACGTTGTAATCCGGAAAGACCCCCCAGAGTTGAAGACCGGGACAATGGCAACCCTGACCTGTGACTCCAGCTCGAGCAACCCGGAGGCTCGACTCAGCTGGTGGCGGGAGGGTATCCCTGTACAAGGAGTCACCAATGTAACGAAACCGGGGCTTCATGGGGGCAGAGTGTCGAGCATCGTGCTCTCCTTAGACATCACGCCGGAGCTAAATGGCATCGTCTATACGTGTCAGGCCACAAACGAGGCACTGCAGAGAAGTGTGCATGATGCCATCACCTTGGAGGTCTTATGTAAGTCTTGTTGACCTTTCTCCTATGTTGTGAGGAATGACAAGACAGTCATGAACTGTAGGAAGTTCATGAGGCTGTGAGAGGAGTCAGTTGTAACCTGTTTTAAAGTATTCTTCTATGGCTCTCCGGTCCGTATTCGGTCCATGGCCTCCTCAATTCTCCTCTTCCATTCGGTCCTCTGTTAAGTCCGTCAGTCCGAGGCTTTGATCGAGGTTTCGAAACATCTTCCTTTTTACGGTGCAAGGTTGTTAGCCTTGCGACCAACCACCAACCTGGAGGACCAGGGTACCTGTCTTAGTCTGACCCTCTCATCCTCGACCAATCTGGCTAGGGAGGCCCTACCAGTAGCTCTTGGGGTCACTGAGGTACTCAAGCCCCACCACCACGACAAGATGCAGGTACCATTAAGTGGGGTGTTGTAAAATATTTGTCGAGAGAAAATGCATGGAATCCTTAGTGAGGATCTCCCAGCCAAAATTAGAGCAAGGGAGTACCATAAAATGAAGCAAGAGTACTACTCGCTGTCAAAATGGACATGCTAGGGAGAATTATGGGGGAAAAAAACAACATAAATTCCTTTTTAACTTGAGTTACACAATCTTTAGTTAAATTTAATTTTCTTCAGCAAGTATAGCTACTTTTCTGATGTCTGATGTACCAACATCATCTTTGGTAATCAAATTGTTTAATTTCTTCTGTGAATAAAAGTCTTTTTTCAGCAATTTATGTTACATAAACAAAGTATTTTATATTCTTTAATGTTTACATTCATGAAATAAAGGTTTTAAAACTTTAACTTCTGTAGTTTTTGTATGATTTTTATATCTTGGGGCCAACATTTTTCAATTATATTAATTAATATGAGTGGTTCAGTGATTTTGTGTGGATCTCCTTTATGGCTGTATTTAGTATATTGTTTAAACTGTAAATTTTAATAAAGTTAAATGAGTATCAGTGTTATGACATCTCCACATTATGTGGAAAGTTGCTGCACACTCTTCTTGTTCTGAAGGTTAAAATTATGGCGGAAGGAGGGATTATACTTTGCAAAATAAGATTGAAATTTTTATAATAACCTCTTGACTGTCTGTTTCAGACAAGCCAATATTTTCTGACGTGCCAATGGAGCAACAGACTGGCATCGAAGGACAGCCATTGGTTTTGCTACTACAGGCTGCAGGTAACCCCAGCAACATTGCGTACACGTGGACTAAGGATGGGATAGACGCAGGGGAAGACCCACGAGTACTGGTAGATGGTCCAGTCCTGAACATCACAAAATTGCGCAAGGAGGACTCTGGCATATATATATGCGAAGCGGTCAACAGCGAGGGCTCCTCATCTGTCAAGTTCAATCTTACTGTGCAATGTAAGTACACTTCTTTTAAGTGATTTCATTCTTTGTTTGGTATTCTAGACCCAAAAAATGAATTTGTATTTATGCGATTATAATTTAACTTTTCACTGTCCCGTTACATACAGAGCGACTTAATTTAGCTTTGTTGTTTACTCAAATCAAGCTATTTTCACATTTCTGAGCTTTGCCTTATATTTGGCCCAATCCTATCTTGTTACTTTCCCTTACAGTGTAGAATATTCTTTTACCAGAATTATCTGAGTTTCTCGTCATAACTTCACATGGTGTCTTTATGTTTCCTCTCCTCTCATTGTGTTAGGAATATCTTCCACATTCAAGATGGCTGTCTTCTGGGTTGTTGCGCTGCGTAGTCTGGTAGAAGTTTACCAAAGTTTCAGAGGTCCTTTCTGCCTACATCATCAGGGCGATGATGGAGGAGCAAGGACCTCTGAAACGTCGGTAAACTTCTACCAGACTATGCAGTGCAACAACCCAGAAGACATAAATCTTCAGACTCATCGCCATGAAAACAACAAACTGTAAACTTATGAGTTCTCGAGCGTTAAAGTAAGTTGTAACCTTGTAACGACTGTCTCGTAATGAATGTAATGATATAATATATTTTATTTCTCTGAGTGTGTCGTACATTACACTGACATTTAGTCTAATAACTTTCGTGTTGTTATACTCAGATACTGCACTCATTAAAGATGCACCGCCATTCGTAATGGTGAGTCCAGGTGAGAATGCGCAGCTATACTGTACGGCAGAGGGTAACCCTCTTAGCGAAAGCCACGTCAGTTGGCGCCGAGAGGGCTTCAGCGACAGTGACATGGAACAGCGTACCGAGCGCTCATATCGGAACGGCACCTCCTACCTCGTCGTCCAAACCCCGACCAGGGAGGACAATGGAAATTTCTTCTGTGTGGTCAACAACGGAATTGGCAATGAGACAACTAGACCAGTCTATCTCGTAGTGAAATGTAAGTAATCGCTGACAGCACAAGTGGTTTTGCAGATCAGTATACCAATTCATTTATTTTACATATAAATTAATCATTGATAAAAGTTATCAGAATTACAGGTACAATTTTGTAGACAATTAATTATTGTCGGTGTTTGTACCCGGACAGGAAGTTTTTGTGACTGATAGCGGACATGTGTTTTCAGACAAACCTGAGATGGATACGGCACCTCAGATTGCGAAAGCTGCAAGTAATAGTGGCGACACGGGTCGCCTAGTCTGCCGAGCATCTGGCGCGCCAAAGTTGCGCTTCACGTGGTCTAGAGAAGGAGCCGCTATCCCTGTGAACATCACTGAGAAATATTATATTGACTTCCGTCAGGTACGTTCTGACAGTTAAGTGACTAAGAACAATCTGTTTCTTTTTAGGCTACATTATTTTCTTAGGGAAAGCAGTTAGGAAATGGATGCATAACATCTGCAGCATGTTTACCATAATTTGAACTATGACCTCTGTAAATTACGCCAGTGACATCAGCATTGTTTCGGGTCAGTGTCATTTGACCCTTGCTGGTCCCCGATGTACTGAAATCACCTCATCAGACCTCTTTATGGTTTATGCTTTGCTTTTGTATGATATCGGTTTAAGAAATGCTTTATAAATTTTGATTCTCATATATTATGGGATTAATGATGATTTTAAAATTTTGCCCATGAATTCCAGGGCTTAAATGGAACATACTATAATGGCTAAATAAGAAAGAAATTAATAATTGATAGATAAAATAAGTAACCACTTAACCTCCTTTAATACTGACAATTTCGCGTGATGTTTCAGGTTGACTTTGTGACGTACGAGTCAGTTCTGTTGGTTAAACACGTGCGACTATCAGACTATGGGGGTTATGAGTGTGTGGTGAGGAATGAGATGGGGTTTGCGACCAATACAGTAAGACTGGAAGTAACGTCTGCTCCAGATCCCCCCACATCTCTGAGCGTCCTCAATGTCACCCATGATTCTGTGACGGTTGGATGGGTTCCAGGATTTGATGGTTAGTACATAACTGTAAAATGTTGGGGTGTTGGACGCACAAATATTTTTACCACTTAGCATGTTTGGGTCACTGGAAGACCACTCACTCACTCACTCACTGTCATATTTTTATCGACACCTTCTGAATGCACAGGGAACTAGGTTGAGTCCACTAAAATTGTTCGCAGCATATTTCTTTTTTTGTCAGCGCAAAATACACATAACGCAGCCCCCTGTAGTTCTATAATACTTCTCGTACAAGACAGTGGCTAATACCGAAATGTCAGACATTTCCTTGAATTTGAATCACAAGCAGGAGACTGCAGTTTTCAACGCATCTCCCAGGAAATTACCTTTTACGTTTCATTCATAATTACTATACCATTTCTTTCACGCTATTAAACGAAGCTGATAATGGATTTAACATTATAGAGTACATTAAACATTACTGTATGGTAGCTGGATATTTACTGGCGGGATAAAACTAGTAAAGGTTAAAAAAAAATATTTATATCTTTTCCGAGGCTAAATATTCTAAACAGAAGTATATGGAAGAGAATGCATTGTCAAATTCTATAGTATTATAGTTTTTACTATTATACAAATCACCGTTTGCAAAATAAGTCTTTAAATTCCTGAAAAAAAACAAAATATTATGTATAATAACTTGTATGTCCGCCGTTTCAATTTCTGGATATGTTTTCCTTTCCATGTTGTGACAGAACTCTGATGTATAAACTTACCTTGGTATTGTAAATATAAAAACACGACTGTTCGCTGTCTGTCGCAGGCGGCATGGAACCATCGTACAGGATACGGTACAGACCTACAGCCACATTTGGGGAAGGTTACCGGTACGTGGATGTGATCGGTAGCAACATCACTACTTTTACAATCACAAGGCTCAGCATGGCAGCAGACTACACTATTAGCATAATGTCATTCAACAAGCTGGGAAGCAGCAAGTATCTACCAGACACGCTACGCGCAAAGACGTCCAGTGAGTACTGCTGCGTAGACATGTACAACGCACCGTACTGATATGGTGTTCAGAGTTTGTGCTGTTCTGTGATATTGTTACTGTTGTTTTAGATGAATGAAGTGGCTGGGAAAAACAAAGACATTTTAGAAACCTCATAGTATAGTACATGGAAGGACAAAATCAAAATAAATAACAGAGAAATGCATTATGAAGATAGGATGAGAATTAAAACTGTCGCTTTGTAGCTTCCAATGCAGGATTTTGTGAACTTGCTGATTAATTTTTGTTTTTTATAACTACAGGTTATTTGTTTACCAGTTGATTATTTATAACAGCAAGATGTTAGTTTTCGCCATACGTGGCACGTAAATTGTACACATTCTGTGCAAGTTAAATTGTATTATGCATGGAGGTTGTCATTTTTAAATGATTTAAATTATGTATTTTACTCTGGATGGGAGTTTGATCCTGATATGCATTTAGTTATAGGTTCTGTAGTTTAAACTCAGTTATGACTTCATCATTCTCTTTCTGTCGCTGATTACCGACAAAATTATTGTGACGTAGGTGGGTTGTCAACCCTCGCTGTTTGGAGTCTGCTAACTTGAATACGATCCAACAAACACTTTTACATGGGGATACACACGCTTTTCACAAGCTCAACACTTCGCTGTCTTGCTGCCGCTGTGCCCTCCGGCTCACACACAACTCGCTAGCTCGCACTCGGCCGCGCCCAGGAATGCGACTTTGTTTATAATCCCCCTCCCAAGATGTTGAAAGATCCAGACCAGGCAGCCTGGAAGTCAAGCGGCCCCTCCCCTCCAGCGCGAGGCCCCGGCACCCACGGCGACATGACACATTATTTAAGACTTAACAGAGTGGATTTTCTGGTTATGGAAAAAATTAAGATTTATCAATCAATACCAGCCTATATCTGCAATTAAATTCAAGACTGTGTCCACAGATTTTAAGTCTTTTTCCAGTTTGTAATCTGATTAAGATAGGATATTGATTATGATAAATTTTATTAATGTGCTGTGGGCGGAATTTATTTTGAAGATGGCTGTCTTCTGGGTTGTTGTTTCATGTAGTGTGGTAGAAGTTTACTGATATTGTAGAGGTGCTTGCTGCTTCCATCATCAGACAATGGAGGCAGCGAACTCTTCTGAAATGTCTGTGAAATTCTACCAGACTACATGACACACAACAACCCAGAAGACAGCCAACTTCATACTTACTGCCATGAGAACCTCAGATTACCCAATTTTTTTTGAGACTATAAAAATTTGAAGAAACCTGTAGGATCTAGCAGATGGTCAAAAACCTCAGAAATGACAGGTTCAAATGGCTTAGCAGCCATATTTAAATCACCAAACAGGTACGGCTACGCAGAAGGCTCTAGTAATGGTGTGGCTGTGTCTGCAAGTAAAATGTTGAGTTAGGATAGAATGGGTTAATGAAATAGGTCATAATTATCAGTGTATCGACTTACAGGAAATGTTTCATGTGTCCATCTTCAAGCGGAATGTGTTGTGACAGTTGTTGGAAAGTTCTATAAGGATAAACCAATGATTTTAAATTATATTTCGATTTAGTGAAGTTTTGATGGGAACCGTTGAATTTTTAGTATGAATTTTAATCGTAAGAAAGGATAATGATTTTCTGTTGCTGGATTATGATATCGCAGTGTAACTTTCCTTAATCAGTAGCCATTGTTCACTGCTTTATTTGTAGTTCTCTAGAAGTAACTAGTTCTAGCACTTTCTAAGCATGATGAATATTCACTTTTGCTATTTTAGATTGAAGTGTTCTAACCAGATATATTGAGTGTCATTTTACTGATCATTTGTTTTAAGAAATTCCACAGCAAAAAGTAGGAAATATAATGTGTAACTTTCAGCAGAATAATCTGAGTAGTATTTGAAGTTTTCAGAGCTGTCTTCTGGGTTGTTGCACCTTGTCGTCTGGTAGAAGTTTATCAATGTTTCGAAGGTTCTTGCCCTGATGATGGAGGCAGCAAGGACCTCTGAAATTTTTGTAACTTCTACCAGATTACACGGCACAACAACCCAGAAGACAGCCATGTTCAGAATAATCTGATGTGTTTGAGGCTAGGAGAGATTAAATAATGAAAGAAGTTGAGAATATTACAGTGAGGAGCTTAATAATTTGTATTCAGTAGCTAATATTTTTAGGGTGATTAAATTAAGGGGATGTAGCATAAATGTGGAACTGAATAAATGAAAATCATTTGATTTCAAAATCTCAACAGAAGAGACTATTTTAGAGACCCAGGCATAGGCAAGAGGATGATACTAAAATTGATTTCTTGGGAATTAGTTATCGTGCTGTGAATTGGATTGAAATGGCTGAGGATAGGGACCAATGATGGGCTTGTGGTGATAATGTTAATGGCCTTCAGTTTTTGAAGTAATGAGAGATTATTTGTTCCACCGAGTAACCACTAGCTGCTCATGAACGGGTTAAACTTCCCTGGCTTTATCTCCTTTGCTGTCAGCTTCTTATCCAACAGCTCACCCTCTCATTGTTAAGATTTTATATCATTCGTATCTTAGCAAATGTTTCTCACAGATAACTGCAAAATAATTCATCACCTGATATCTGGACTTCGCATGACTTCTGTGGGTTTAAAATACAGTTGTGTAAATAGAAAACACAACTGTTCACTTGCATGTCGAATTATTTGAACGAATTAGTGCTGTCTGGTGACAGACTTTGTTAAATGTCATAACCTGAGGTAAAATTCTCTTCAGACTGCTACTACTAACACTGATGCTCTAACCGCATGTTTCGCTCGCTTGTCTTGCTTTGGTACAGGTGAGCTCCCCCCTTCCTTCCACTCCCCGAGTCAGGATGTAGATTATCAGTCGGGTGAGGATGGCCGAAGCGGGATATCGGGCCTTGTCATCGTAGTGGTGACGGTGGTGGGAATGGCAGTGTTGATGCTGAACGTGCTACTGATTGGCTGCTGCCTCCATCGGCGTGCCAACAAGCGTCTGACAGGTATGTCCATGTATTTTAGGTGAGGGTGACCTCCAGCAAGTCATCCCAGACATATTACTTGGCAAAGCGGACATCCCTCGCTTGGTTATCATTGGAGTGTCTG